CGACTCAGAACAAGACGAGTAAGCAGGTGAAGAGGTGGTGAAAATTTATCGACACTGGCCCACTTTCCATTACCTCCTTTCTTAACCACATGATTGCTTAAACTTTCATCACCACTTCTGCTACTTCGCTTACTTCGTCATGAACCGCCTTCCTCTTTCGCTTCAACTCGCCATCGCCTTTTCTCCACTCCTCGTCGTGTTTTCGCCACCTCCTTTCCTATCCTTGTTGTCGCTAAAATATTTTCGTCGCCTCTACTGCTAATAACTTGGGAGCTAAAATTTCTTAATCATTTGTTTATCAGAACACTAGGTTGCCTAAACTTTTTTTCAGCAACGCTTTTAATAACCACGTGGTCAATAAGACTTCTTCACCTCTTCTAAAACCCAGGTGGTCGCCGAAACCTTTTTAACATTTTTTTCGACCACGTGACCGCTAAAGAGTCTTTTTTCACCTCGTCTCATCAAGTACATGGTCGCTCTGTACTGGACAGCGTGTCGTATTCTTTTTCCTCTTAACCTCCCACTGACCATCCACTCTCAGATCAAATAAGAACTTTCAAACCCGCCAAGACATTTGCCCTGAAGTTGGCAATTGAAAAGTCTGAATTTAATTTTGACTTTTATAAAAGCAACTGAATATTCCAGATTTTAGTAGCAGAAACATTAAAACTTACACAGAATATGTATTGTCGTCTCTTAAGGTTTAATAGTACGTGGTTTACAAATATTCTTCGTTGTAACCCGAAATCTTTCAGAAAAGCATAAAATCTCAAAAAATGAATGCAAATCTTCCTAAAACTAAACAAAACATCAGTTGTGTCACTTTTGATAAAATATGTTAAATAGACTTTTATGATGCGAAATTTCGATGTCAAGGTCTGAACATTCTTGGATGTGTCGAAGAATATCTTGTTCCTGTCTGCTGTTGTCTGTCGGGTGGAAGTTTATATTTTATTCAACTCAATAATGAAGTTTATTGCAAGCGATGAATCTTGAAATATGGCAAAAATATTGCGTAAACACACCATTATCCAGTTTAAAACACATTTCGAAAATGTTCCGCAAGTAAACATGTTTATTTTTTTATCCAAATGCATTACATTAGGACTTTTAGAAATTTTCAAAGCAGTGCAAAAAAATTTCCAAAAAAAATATGCAGGTTTTTTTTATGAAAGGAATTCAATCTTAGAAGTGCCACATTTGTGTTTAGAAACCTGATGTATATGAATAATTTTAATATTAATTTATTGTAGCAATTTGTATCACTTATGCCTAAAATTTGTTAAAAGATTGTAATTCTTCAAGTTTATTCCTTATAATTGTATTCCTTTATAATTATTTAAAGAATTCGGTTCTGAAATAATATATAATTTTATGGCCCCATTTAACCATTATTAGATAATTTGACTTCATTAGTGGTAATAATTTTTCCCACATTGCTAAATGTAATTTCAAAATGTTCTCCTACATTTCAGGATTTGATGCAGTGGAATAGCGAAGGAGAAGGCTAAAGGAATTCTTTCATGTAAGTCAGCTCAGAATCGCTAATTAGTTAAGTACGTAGTTAAAGCTGAGTGTTTGCGCTTCGAAAGGAATCTTCTTTCAAGAGGCATTTTAATTAAATTCCTCTAAACTCCCATATTGTCTGGCATTTGCATTAGAACGGAGTGCTTCTCATTTCATTATATTGGTTGCTCACACTCAAAAGATATCGTAGCTAGACTCGAAAGATTTACGTGAAGCCCTTTCTAATTTCAGAAGCATTTTAATAAACAATTTATGTTAACAGGTCGGGCTGTTTATTTAAATGAACACATAAATTGTTTTGTCAAAATTTAAGATAATTACAAGAAGTTCAGCACAGGTAGCCCAATAAGTGCGAGGGTCCGAGTTGGATGCCCAGATTCAATTACCGGAAGAGAGTTTTCTCGTCACCAAGTTGAAACTCCGCCATCGTATCCAATTTATACCGGAGCTTTTACCAGTCACCTCCAGCCAGAATACGAGAAGCTATACCTTCATGTCCCCTGCAGACTTTTAATTTGTTATGTTTGGTACAAGGGAAAATCATAAATGACGTAATCATAATGACGAAAGTCGTGAGTACACTCTGTGGCACAATGCATAGTAACTGAATAATAAATCAAGTGGTACATATAGTTACCATTGTTCTTTAAAGAGTCAAAAACATGTGTTTGGGTCATTGCATATGTCATACGTAGTTTCTAATACCGTATCTTTGAATTTTCATTCCAATTTTGCGCGATTGCTTGCATGGAGGCAGTCTGGTTATTTTCAACACGTTTCTTAAAAATGTGCCCTAAATAAGTTAGGTTTGCTAATTACTTGGAATGCCTTCTTCCGTTGTGCTGTAGTATCCTGTTTTTGATCAAGTACTGACATAAACAGACCAAAGTATGCAGCACATGGAGATTCAGAGGGCTGTTTCGGCGTCTGTGTACAACAAAGATGTTCCAAATTCTACTTCATTTTTAGATGATGCGATTAAAATCTAAGTGCTATATATCATTCGAATTTAAATATGTTTTGTAACTATCCAGCTTAATGTCAATGTAAAGTATTTCTTTTTTATTAAATATAAAACATTCCAAGCTCTTAGTATTTTACGTGTAATATTAAGTTAATAACTTCTATTTAGAGTCATTTTATGATAAATTTATTATTAAAAGCAGTAATAAAATGTTGGTTAAGTAGGATTCAATACTAGGTCTACGCACAGGTCTAGCAACCTAGCTCATGAGCAATGTTGCATACGTAAATATATCATTAGAACACAAGATTTGTAGGAGTAGACGTCTTGAAAATAAAAACGCGGGCTTTATGAATTCTGCCTGGAAATCCTTTTGTGCGTCATTCATTCTACATGGCCATAAATGAGCATATTTATATACATAAATCCCTGCCCTATAAGATTGGTGGTATATGAAAATAAAACGTAACACAAATTGGATAGAACTATGGACTATGAATCTGTGTGTTTTATTACGAATTATAATTACAAAAAATAAGACATTGCCTTCGTAACTATAACGTCTGGATATATTTTTTTTATAATATTTCCCGGCAAACCTGAAACCTTGTGTTCATTAATAGATTAATTCTGAAACATTTTAAATTGGTCTACCTAGGAAACTCTTGTTCAGAATATGTACAGTAGACATGTACCCTAACAGTCGGAATAAACAGATGGCAAACAAACCAACTGATATGAAAATAGTCTATACTTTCTGTAAAACATGTGATTCTGGTTGATTAATTACTCAAATCCTGTTTTTGACATGGGTCTGTTATCTGACGTACATTCGATATTACACGCCTGCATTACGTTTTGAGAGTTGGATTTTCTCAGGTCTTGAAGCGACTAAATGTCATTGTACTGACACAGTTTGTTTTATTATTAGCAGAAACAGTTGATGTCGAAGTTATGGTGTTTAGCGTGCCACTCTAACATTGAAAGGGCCCCGGGTTTAATCCCAACGGTTGCCGACAATATTAAAATAACAAACAATATGCGAGTATAACAACACCCAGTGGCCTGAACGTAGGTGTACAGTCAGTTCACTGAGGGGACATTTACTAAGGTGTTTTAAATGGGCAAAGTAATAGTAATATTTGAAACACAGATACTAAATTTGTGGATGTTTCGCGTTCTGGTTTGATAAATTCTGCAAGAGTCTGGTTAACAAGTGATGACGTATACATTTCTAACTTTTCATGATCAGTTTCAAACTGAAAATGGCTAGTCTCACTTAATAGTTGCTCAGTTACACCTCCCAGTTCGCGTAGCATTAACTCCACGATTCAATTTTTTGACATTACTTCACTTTCCGCTGAAGGTCCACGTCAGATGAGCCCTCAAATTGTCTGGTTTTTACCATGAATGAAGCCAGATGAGTAAATAATAGTACGATTTGTGGTGATTCCATTTTCATGAAAATTTCCCCAGTGCCATTACTTATTTCCTCTCATACTCCATTCTTATTGGTAGAAAAAACTGAGTGAGCGGTGTTTTTTTATTATTAAAATATTCTCAACCATGGAAAGCGGTGGAATATAATTGGCATTATTACTTTATTGTCGACTTCGTACCCACCCACCAAGTAGTAGCAGCAGCGGTCGTTGTTAAAACGCGCGGTAGAGCCAGCCACCTGGCGAGGGAGTACAGAATAACATTACTGCGTTGAATTATTCTTTTTCGTTTAAAATAGCCATGTGCTGGCCAGCCGGCTCGTTTTCAGTTTTGTGTGTTGTCGTGAAACACGAAGAAACGTTTATTCTTCCAATGCTGGGCGAGAATGTAGACAGTTATGACACCGGATGGGTGGTGGCAACCATTTCTCATGCGCCTCCCTCGTCTTTACCTCTTTCTCGTCCTCCTCCGAAATAACCCTTCCATTTTCATGAAGTAATAATAACCGTACCTAATAGTAAAACAGTCGAAACTCACTCACATATCCGGGTCCCGCCCATTATTAACGTAATAGCACAATAATTTTAAAAATAATTTAATGTTCTACAGTTCCATTTTTACTTTAGTAAGTAGAGTCATTTCTGTCTCTTGTTTTTCTATACGAGTTATTACAGTACATGTGTTTGAAATGACGTAGAGTTGTCTGCCATCTTGAAATATTTATTGAGGCAGGCGAGGAGTCCATTTTTATAAATGATATTCAAGAAGTGTGGTGCTGAGTGAAGGAAAGGAAGGGGTCCGAGGAGGTCATAACCCTTCGTTATAAACAGTGATGGACTCTCCACGAGGACTCCTTTACTTGTCTTGATAAATCAGATGCTTTCGCAAAGAAATCAAAGTTCCTTTGCCTGTTAGTGTCCGTCAGACGTTAGGCTGAACACTTTATTACAAATGTATTTCGTTTTTTGCTTAATGGAAGTTTTTTTATCGCTTTATAGTGAATAATCGGATCAAATACATTACTGATAATTGGTCTCCAAGCTCCCAGACACAATATGCTTCTTGTAATTGCTTCTATGTTGACCATAAATCCTTTCGTCATACACAAGGAAGCGTCTTTCATTTACAACTAATAAAAATTACTTTTATTTCGCTATATTAGACCGAAGAAAATAAATAAGTCCGATTTTCGATCACATATCAGGCCACCTGCTTTAGACATTTGTGTTTCAATTGTTGGTTCTGTATATTGTAATTTTAGCCGAACCCTTCAAAATCACAATTTTTTACTTTGGCAGCCATTATACTGTGTTCATATTGAGAACGTCTCATCCCTTTATACTTCAGACTAAAGCTTTTAAATCTAAGTAGAAAAGTAGCAAATACGCTTTCATAACAGACATGACCTGTTTCTAATCTCGTATCAACTTTGCTGTTGCGAACAGTCTGTAACTTGAAGATGACTGTCTTCTCGATGTTGGTAGTTGAAAGCTGGAAGTTTACCGACGTTTCAGAAATGCTTACTGCCTTTATCCTTAGGGCAATGAGTGGAAGTAGTAATCATCTCATCCAGTCTATAACTTAAATTGTGTAAATCCTACATACACATACATACATATAAATTAATTATACGCAGTAGACTTTGGCATGTTGTTATGCAGTGGTATGTAGAAGTCCATAAATATGCATTAGATGTTACATCATTGGAAGTTTGAAGCTGGCGTTAGCTAATGCAGGGATCAGAGCTAAGCCCTGTAGTATTGGAGTACCTATATTTGCTCAGCGTATTATGCGCTATTTTGGTATCACACTGTTGTGTGCATTTCGAAACAATGGCTCGTGTGAGCCTTGGAATGGATTTTGTACGTAACGAATTGACCTCTCGTTATCTGCACAAATAACTTGTTTGTTGATATTTTATTGATATTAGTGTTTTACACATAAAGGCGTCATTACAATTCCATGTCAGTTTTACTCATAAGATTAAGTAAGTCTACGTTGAGAAAAAAAATATATTATATAATTAGATGATGATGAGCTACGTATTTATTCTTCAAGGTGATATTTTAAAACTGTTTACTTTGCTGTTTCTTGATAATAATTATTTTCTTCGTTGTTTGGTGTTTGCAAGTGTGGACCTTTAAGATAGTGAACGTTTTTGGTTGCGATCTGAGATTGCAGAGGGTGACAGACTCAGATTGTGCCGTAAATACGAATCTTATTAGATTTTCCATTGAAACTCGAAGCTCATCTAAATAACATTTACGTATACAGTTCTTCCCTCGAAGAAAACACAACTCATTTAAGTTATAAAAAATAGGGATCAGCTGAGATATTTATTCCGAGAATCACACGAAGCCCATAAATATACTCTGTGAACAAACTACAGAATTAGTGAATGTTAATTAATGTAGAACATGTAAATACCTCAGCGCTTTTAAAGTTAATATAAATACCCGCTCTGTGGCCTTTCTTATGCTACAGTTACTCTCGGATGAGCCCGTGTTCCCATGCAACAGAAAGGCATAAAGGAGCTGATAAATGTACTTATAAATCGCAACTTTTACTTTTAAAGTTCTCGATCATTGCCAGCC